CCAGTATTTGGGGTATAACCCCCCAGTTTTGCCCGATAACACCCTTTAAAAATAGCACCATTCGATAGAGCATTAAATTCTGCACCCAACACAAGCACTTAGAGAGTTAACACAGGTAAGAAAACGAATCGGGACAAGAAATACTTGAATCTGGTGCTAACTTAACTTACGTTGAAAAAATGGCTTCCGAAAAAAGACGCAATTCAATTTTTTTTTCATCGTTGTGTCAGATTGTTGTTTATGTATTGATGTATGTTCTACCAATAGTTGAAAAACAGTGCACAATTCTGATCATTGATATGATTAACATCTTGGAAGCAAACGACAAAAAAAAATGTTGATTCGATGAAAAAAATTCTTGTAGTTCAAAAAAAAGAGAAATTAAATGAAATCTGATGCACAAAGCAATCTATCTCTATTAAAACAAAAACAATTGTATTTTAATCTTTTTTATTTGGATATGAAAATAAAAGGTATATAACAATATTATAGTTCAATAAACGTTTATAGACAGTACAAAATCTCAAACTTTCTTTTTAACGAAATAACATTTATCGGATTGTAATAGTATTCTATTTGTACTAATCAAACTTTGACTATGAATAGCTGTACTATTACAAAACTCATAAATATTGATGAATACTAGTGAATTATGGAAGCATTGATTATTGCTGTGAACATACTTTTGATATAAGTACTCAATATAAAATACTATCTCGAAAATGAAAACTGAATACTTTATCGATACAAACAGAGACTATGATAATAATTTATCATTTTCATTGATGATACTCTTCCAATTATGTCCAGAGTCAAACAAAAGTTCAATATATATAAATAAAGAATTGATAGAATTCTATGTATACAATAACTAGATCCAATCATCTACTAAATTAACATAAATACATTTAAAGTTGCATGTTCACCATTCGATTCTATATTCTTGTTTTTTTTTCTTTTGAGTAATAAAAAAAAAGTTCTGTGCATACCTCTTACGCGTTCTCTTGTTAAAAGTAAAGAATAGAAAGAAAAAATAATAATAAGACAAAGAAAGAGAGTGCAAAGAGTATATTTTTATATAGGCACTCTATTTGAAACATTTTACAAATACATCAAGCAAGAATATGTCAGACAATAAAAATTCAACATTATCACATAGTGAAGCCAAATCAAACGAAGAATTTGGTTTAACTGGAACAACAACTGGATCAAGTGGAGAACATTTAAAAACAACTGGAGCTAGTGCATTAGGCACTAGTGGAGCAAGTGGTGATATGGGAAATGAAAAATCCAAAATTGACAGATCAACTGATGGTATAGGACCATCAGCAACAACAACAGCATCATCATCAACAGTTGCTAATAATCAAGGAACACGTTAGATATTACAACAGAAGACTTGAAAACAGTTTAAATTTTATTGTACATAATTTTATTTCAGCATCCATTTTCATGTTTCATTCACGTAGAAAAATAAAACAAGATCACTATAGAAACCGATTTTGAATATAATTTACGCATATTATCTTACAGAACTTTTCATTGACAATTGCTTTTTATTAAAGACCAGACGTTTGTAGTAGATATCAGTTTTTTCAATAAATTCTAGTTTATCATATAATTTAAGAAACATTCAATTCTTAAATAAATCATTTTAATGAACAAGAAAATCACTCAAAACTAATGTAGAATTGTTCTGAACAAAAGTCGAATCACTAAAAGATGATATAATTTGTCTACTAGAGATTTCATAAAATGAGAAGGTATTCATTTCAATATGTACGTAACTATGACGAATGACCAAAACATTTTTTAGATAATACTTGAAAAATCGATAATAGATGTCATCACTCATCGGAGACCCGAGAAAACAGTATAGAAGTAATGGGTGTAACTAAAGAAAAAAAAAGAAGATAAATGAAATTTTCAGGATACATTTGAAACAATCGACCGATGGTCTATAAGATGATCTACACCATCGGAGTATCATAAGAAACTATAGTGAGATAGCCGCCAGGAGATTATAGATGGATGAGCCCTCATCCCTAGTAAAAGCTTTCGGTCTATGCCACTATCAGAGGCATGGTGAAGTCAGTCACTACTGGTTGAATGAGAATTGAAGTAGATGTAGGTACATCCCGCCCCCAAGGGGCTAGAAAGTTATGATTATAAGCCTAAAAAGAACGTTTGAATTTCACATTTATATTTTTCATGGGATATTGTATAGACAAGATTTCTGTTTTTTTTTCTAAGATGCGTTTATTCGTTAATATCCAAGACTATTTGTTTGTAACAACATTCATATACATAATACATTAAACTTATATATACAAAGCTACGTTTAGTCTTTCATACAAAACAATAATAATAATGTTGAAATTAATTTATCATCGGACAAACACCATCAGTCCACTGAAAAGAAAAAGGAGTATATATGTATATGTATTTGTTTTTTTTTCCTTACAGTTAAAAGATGACGATGTTCAGCAAGTGCTATTGCAGATTGATAATCTTTTTGTAAGCTATCATTTATTTGTATAACTCGATCGTTTGTTTCAGCTAATCGAGGATCATTACAAACATGATAAAGATCTAAACAAAAGAAATTAAATTTTAAAAGAAAAAAATAAATTTCTACCTCGAAGTAAACTCATTGTATTCAATTGTGCAGTATAATCAGGAATTGATTGGCTTATTGTTGTTGCTGATTGAAGCATATTTGCACTTTCCTATAGTATACAACAAAATTAGAGAGAATAATTATTAATAATTTATTTTTTTTTACTTGATAACTATGCATTCGAAAAAACATATGACCAAGAATGATAAATGTATTAGTTAAAATTTTATTTAAATCTTCATTACTAGCAAGATTAGCTGAACGTCGAAAGAGTTCTCTGTTTAAATACAAAATAGAAAACAGATTTTTTTAAAAATAATCTTTTACATAGTCTTACTTAGCTTCATGTATACGAGATTGTGTTAAATTATGAAGACCATTCAATAAATTTCCAATAGCATGAAGTATTGCTGATCTATATAATTACGATATACAATATGTTGGTTTTCTTTTTTTCAAAATAAATATTATCTTACTGAGTTGTATTTAATTCAATATTAATTTGTTGTAATATTGGTATTAGATTTGCTATTTTTGATGTTCGTAAATAAATAATAATAAGATTAGCAAAAATAAAAAAACGAAATTCTTTATCGCCAGAAAACTATATTTACAAAAAAGAATAACACTTTCAAAATTTATTTATGTTATCAAAAGAATTAATTTACTCGTGTTCGAAGAGCACTTGCAAACTAAAGAAAAACAAAAGAATTTTGAATAATCAATAATCGGAAAGTTTCTAGACAAGATATTTGTTTACTCTTGATACAATAGAAAGCATTTTAGACGAATAAACACGCGAAAAATTGTCGGAATCAGTCGTTTTTTAGAGCGAACACTTCTCAACAAAATGTGATATTGAACTAAGCTGTAGTTACTATTCAAGCATTTTTTCAAGAGCTCCTTTTACAATGTAAAACAGTTGTCGATTTTTCAAAAATCAAGTTGCCTTGTCGAAAGACAGAAAACAACTTCAAATAGTGCATTTTGTAGGATAGCTTCTGATCTACAAGCTAATATATAAATAAACATGCTAACTTATAGTTTTGAATCACAATAGTAGAGATATAAAAATTTTCTGTCCAAACTAATGTTTTGGGCTTTTCAAAGATTATTTCACTGAAACAAAATTTTTGATTCCATATTCCAAAAGAGAATGCTAACTCATAGCTTTTGATTTGTTGGAAATATTTTCTATTGAATCAAAAGTAAACAAATATCTTGTCTAAAAACTTCCTCATCATTCATTATATTTTTGAAATTACTTGTGCTTCAGCTGCTTCATTAAAATTTAATGATGTTGCATAGAAACCCTAAAATAAAAAATAATTTTCTTTTCTTTTTTTATCTTATTTCTGTAAGATAAATTTACTAATAATGCATGAAGAGTTAATGTTCGTTGAATAGCATTGCTATTATTAATCGGATTTGATGTATTATGAAGACGACATAATACATTGATCTAAATAAATATTCGTTTTCATTTTAAGTACATGTTTAGATATAAAAATGAATTTATTTACTTCTTTAATAGCAACAGATTTATTACCAAATATTAAATGACTTTGTATACGACATTCATAAAATAACATTTCAACAGCCATTAAAAATGGACTATGATCGACATTTTTAATTTGTTCTATTTGTGCTTGAGCTTTATCAGCATATTTAAGAGCTTTTTCTAATCGACCTGATAGCATTGAATGAAAAACAGTTAACTAAAGAAATGAATTTAAAAAAAAACAACAACAAAGGTTTATTATTTAAATTTGAATTTATTCGATTAACATACTAAATAAACAAGAACATTTAAATGATCACGAGATAACCATACAAACTGTTCGAGTGGATTTGTGACTAAATATGCTTCTAAAATGAATGAAAAAGAAATATAGAATTATGATTTTATAAGGAGATAAATAACCTTCTTCAGGACGACTTGCTAGATTTTGAATACTTTGTTGAAGTTGCATCAATGCATTTTTTGATGATTTTATCTACATGTAAAACATTTATAAATTTTTAAAATGTAATTAATCATTGATAAAATATTCAATCGGAAAGATTGAAATGTAGTTTTACTCATAAACGATAGAAATTTGGAAATATCCGAAGTTTTTATTCTATGAGGAACCAGACAATTCAGACACACTCCTTCTGTCTAAACTCATTTCTGTTTTTTTTTACTAACTAGAATTCTAAAAGATAATCTGAAAATCTCTCAAGATAAGTTTAAAATTCTCGTTTTTCTTGACAGATTGTTTTTCTGTCGACTGTTTTCCTATCACATAATATCTTTTATCTTAATATATCATTTCTATTTAAAATAACATACTTGACCAAGTCCAAAACAAGAACATGAAATATGTAAAACCAAATAAAAAATTCTTAATGTTTCAATATGTGAAAAATTGCCTTGTAATGCATTAATTCTATCTAAACATGGTTTTAATAAATTTTGTGCATCTATATAATCTTTTAATGATAATCGTAACTAAAAAACAAAAAAAAATAAAAACTTTAATTTTTTAAATCTTTATTTTAACTAAAATCTATTACCATTGCTTTCGTAAGTTGAAAAAGAATTTGACAAAATAAAGCATTAATTCTCACACAAAATTCAATTCCACGATCAGTATAATAAATTGATGTATTATAATCTTCTTGAGAATGATAAATATTCTAAAATTAAAAATAACAATAACAAATGTTTAATATATATGTATAAATTTTAATCTTATATATTTTACAATTATTTGAAATATAATTCTACAATGCCAATATGGTTGTTGAGATGAAAGATCATATGCTTGTTGAAGTAATGTTATTGATGATGCAAATTGATTTTGATTTAAATAAATTTTTGCTAATAAACAAAGACTTTCAAGTTTTATATCATCCGGCATTTGAGCTAAATGACACTTGAAAAAACAAAAAATAGAACAAAATATTAATATATTAAAATTATAGATAATCAAGAAAAAACAAAACAAAACAAACAGCTTTATCAAGATGCATCGATGCCATATCAATATTTGTTGTATGTTGTGTATATAATCTTCCCAAAAATAAATGAACTTTTGCTTCAATTAATGGTGGTAATCTTATTGTTAAAATAGCTTGTAAACATTGAATAGCTAAACGATAATTTGGTGGTGTACTTGTTCGAAAATATTCTGCTGATCCAAGCAAAGCTAAATAAACAGGATCAGCCATCTAAAATAAATTGATATTTTGATCTAACTAAATGCAAACATAAATAAATATCATTTACGATAAAAAAAAAAAAAAAGGAAAAAAGAAGAAGAAGAAGAAGAAGAATATGACAATTGAATGTTAATACACATCTGTTTGTTTTTTTTTCTTTTTCATTTGTATACACATACACAAAAATCGAAAATAAAAATAAATTGCTATTACACAAAGAAATGAGAAAAAAAGATAGACTAGACACAACAAACAAATGGGTTGAAGGGAAGAGCGCATCGCTCTATCTTGGTTCTAAACACAAGAAAAAAAATATACTTTCATGCTCATGTAAAAAGAAATACAGAGATAGATTGAATATAAATTAATGCGAGATTGCCTAAATTGCACAGAAAATAAAAACATAAAACACCGTAAATAGAATTGAAATAAAGATATATAGTGAAAGAAAGAAAGCTTTCTTCTTTTTATTAATAAGGTATTGAATTTTGTTGATATTGAATATAATCATATAGACGTGTTCTTAAACTATGTGCACATCGATTGATTACTTCA